AGACGCTTTTACAGAAAGTGACAAAAGAAATGAACATAAAAAAAAAAAGTCTACTGCTTCTCTTCTTCCTTTTTTTTTTCACACCTCTTGTTATTTTTATATAAGAATAAGAACATGTAGCTAACAACATTTTTTAATACTAACTGTATAGGATAACAATAGTTAATTAGCATACATGGATAATTATATGCAAAACAGAATGATAATCTTAGTATGGAATGGCATCTGTACTAATTAATGCTAATAAATTATGTTAGACAATAACAATATTTAACATAAATGAACTGCTGAATGCAAAATTCCATTCGAATATAAGTAGTATTCATACTAAAATGATTCATCACTTTAACCAATAATATTTATACTATAAAATCATGCAAAATCCTTCAAGATCATGACTTAAAAAAAAATATATCACATACTTTATCACTAATAGTGTCAGGCGGAATAAATAAAATAATAAAAAAAAAGAAGGCTTATATGCAAAGAATCATTTTGTCCTGGCTGTAGGAAGATAGGAAGTTTTGGCTTTTATGGCTAGAGGGAAGAAGCTTTTTCTTTTCTTTTTTTTTTTGATTTTAGTGGCATGCCAAGGACAGATCTTCACGTGAAAGTGAAGTAGAACTCACTATCACAAGTCTCAGAAAACTTTCGGCTATAGCTTGGGAAGCTACAGTGAGAATGCACAATAAAAAGAGATGTTGCGGGAAGGTGATCCGCACACGGAGTGAGGAGGATAAAGAGAAATTGGAGTGTTCTTTCACCTGAAGAAATCGAAGCTTGGAGGGCTTGAGCTGGTTACGGCAAGGAGGAGAGGAAAGAAGACGTGAATTGGTTTGTGTGGTAAACCGAGAAACTGCAGGCGGGTTTGATCAGTATAGCTGGTATAGAGACTGATAAATCTTGCAGCAAGGTGAGAACAAGGAGATCGACGAAGGAGTTGTGATCGGAGGAGGTATTTGAGACTAGAATTTGGACAGAAGCTCGAAGGGTTGCTGTCGAGCAGGGCTGCAGGCCGGAGAAAGAGACGTGAAGTGGATTGGATTTGGCGTTTGCGTGGAGTTCGTCAGAGGTCTGGATTAAAGTGTATTGGACGAGCACTAGTAAGAAAGATTTGAACTGCAAGTGCTCGAAGCGTTTTTGGACCCCGCGAGAAATCTTCTCGAGCTTCTTTTTAACGACGAGGAGTTGTATTCAGACGAGGCCACCGCTGCCTTCGCGGGATTTCGGGGATATTTGCAGAGATTTGCACAGAAGTTACGAGGTAAGATTAATGAGATTTAACATTTTATTTGACTTTACATATTTTGATTTTTTTTAATTATTTATTATTTGTATATTTTTTATCAAATTAATGAAAAGTCAAAATCATGTTATGATTATCTGTCCATTTGAAATATATCAACATGACACCTGATCAAAATTATTTTGGATTTGTGTGATTCCTCGATGCGTGTGCGTATCACCTCGAAATATGTGTAATCACCTCGTTTAGCGTGTCAAATTTGTCGAACATAAAAATTAGATAAATGGGTAGTTCATTTAGGGTATTGACGATGTTCCGATCCCAATGGCGTGGTCCGTTTTGTGATAGGAGATCATTTGGGCGACGACGAGGCTTAGTTCCCTCGTAATGCGTGCATTCGTAACATATCTGAATCGTTTTTTGAGATTTACGACACCACCTCAAATGATCCGATTTAATCAAATAAGATGTAGACTTTTAATGTTGCCGACATTTTGGATGCAATGATGCCATCCGTTCTGTGATCAAACGTCATTTCGCCACCGACGAGGCTAATTTTTCTTCATAGCACGCACCTTCGCAACATATTCAAATTGTCTTTGGAATTTTCGACACCACCTCAAACAATCCAATTTGATCAAATAAAATATATATTCTAAATGTCGACGACGTTCTGGACACAATAACATTGTCCGTTCGTCAATCGGACGTCGTTTGATCATCGTCGAGGCCTTGTTTCCCTCATAGCGCATGCCTTCGCATCATATTTGAGCCGCCTTAGAAATTTTTTAACACTTCAGACGATCCAAATTTATTAAATAAAATATATATATTCTGAATGTCGGGGATGTTCCGGACGCAATGACACTGTCTGTTTATCAATCGGACGTCATATGGGCATCTTCGAGACCTCATTTCTGTCGTAGCGCAGACCTTTATATTATATTTGCATCGCCTAGAAATTCACCAACATCTCGGATCATCCAAATTTATTAAATAAAATGTATATCCTGAATGTCAACGACATTCCGGACGCCATGGCGCTGTCCGTTTGTCGATTGAATGTCGTCTGGGCATCTTCGAGGCCTCATTTCTGTCGTAGCGCAGACCTTTATATTATATTTGCATCGTCTAGAAATTCACCAACATCTCGGATCATCCAAATTTATTAAATAAAATGTATATCATGAATGTCAACGACGTTCCGGACGCCATGGCGCTGTCCGTTTGTCGATCGGATGTTGTCTGAGCATTTTCGAGGGCTCGTTTCCGTCGTAGCGCGGGCCTTTATATCATTTTTGAATTGCCTAGGAATTCAC